ATCTATCAAAAATGACGTAATTTTCTGGCTAGCCAATGCATTATGACGTCATGAAATGCGACATTTTCCTCATATCGTGAAAAATTCTACAAAACAAACCAATTTTTAAAGCTAATTTTTCGATATTTAATATAGAGCGTAACCTCTGATCTTAAATATGCAACTATAAAATGATAGAACTTTTTCTGAGGATTACAAAACCTGTTTTATTATTTAGATCAGAGGATGCAATCATATTATTTCTCTTCTTTCTTTTTTAAGCTAAAACTTGCATCACTTGATTGCATCTCTTTCGCTGTTTTGAAATATGTTAGATTCCACCGGAAATAAAACGTCAACTTTCGGTCTATTGCTCGGCAACAGTAAACGATTGAAGTCTGAAACTTTCAGGACTGATAGTCAGTGATCAGTTTATTTGAATCGTGACAAAATCTTGTATCGCCGTTACTTCCGGTCGTGACAGAAAGTAATGCAAATAAGGGAATGGTTAATGGTTAGCACGTTGGATTTTCAGGCTGACGACCAGGGTTAAATCTCCAGAGTGTCTGAATGTCTTTTATCACTTTTTCAGTTTGAGTTTTCTTTTTTTCAGAATCGGACGGAAGACCTCTCATTGCTCGCAATGAGTTTCTAGTTATTATTATTATTTTTCTTCTTCTTCTTCTTCCTGGGTACTTTTTTGTCCGCGAGTGATCTCGTCAACTACTCATCCGATTGAGGTGAAACCTTTTTAGGGTTAATAGGCATGTTATGTAGATTTGCGGAATCAGGGTCATTTTGCGCGCACGTGCATGCACGTGCGTGCGCGTGCAATGCGTAAAATGACTAATATACTTGATATAGCTGTAACTTTTATATATTTTGATGAAATGCTTTGATACTCAAAATATAAGGATATATTAAAAGTGTAAACAAGATGACATGGTCAACATGCACATGCATGCACGTGTGCGCACACGCAAAGCGTAAAATGACAAATATACTTGATATATTCGTAACTTTTATACTTTTTGATGAAATGCTTTGATACTCAAAATATTTATATATATTAAAAGTGTAGACAAGATGACATGGTCATCATGCACATGCATGCATGCATATGCATGCACGTGCGCGCGCGTGCAATGTGTTAAATGACCAATATACTTAATATAGCCGTAATTTTTATATTTTTTTATGAAAAGTTTTTATATTAAGAATATACAGATATATTAAAAGTGTAGACAAGATGATGTGGACATCATGCTCATGAATGCACATGCGCGCGCGTGAAATGTGTTAAATGACCAATATACTTAATATAGCCATAACTTTTATATTTTTTTATGAAAAGCTTTGATACTAAGAATAAACAGACAAATTATAAGTGTAGACAAAATGGCATGGTCATTAAGAACATGCATGCAGGTGCGCATGCATGCAATGCTAAGATGACCAATATACTTGATATAGCCGGAACTTATTTATTTTTTGACGAAATGTTTTGATACTGAGAATATAAAGATGCATTAATAGTATAGATGAGATGACATGGTCATCCTGCACATGCATGCACGTGCGCGCGCGTGAAATGCAAAAAACGATCAATATACTTCATTGCCTTATTTAATGAAGCTTACAGGAAATAAGACACCAAGAGGGTGTTGGGGAGCGTTTGGGGAACATCTGTAACGGTCCCCGTTACAATTAATACTAGTTCATAATGCAATATGCGATATATTGGATTCTTTAACAAATCTATTAAAAAAGGTTTTGTAAATCATTTAATGCATGAATTTGATAAAAACTGGGTGTTTTATTACCAAATTGGAAGTTCATGTCTCACTCTCTTTACAAAGTACACTTCAAATTCAAATTTTTAATGACTGTAAAACTAACATGTTGAAAAATAGTTGTCTATGTATTTTGCAGTAGTTATTAAGATGTGCTATCTCCTTCATGTTTATTTCATTATTGATCAGCTTTAATTCAAAACAGTGAAATATAATCTTTGGGGACTGAAATTCCCAACTTTTTCACAGAATTTTAAGAAAAACTCTCTGTCCAATACAAATTGGAAGTTAGTTTTTTGATACGATACATTCCTGAATATTGATACGTATTGATTAATCGATATATTGACACAGCCCTAATGGGGACCAAAATATTTTAAGAGAAAACGCTTTTGAAATATTTAGTCAATTTTTGCTCTAAACTTTTTGAAATATGCACTGAAATGAATTAATTTTTTTTTTCAGAGCTTGGCAATAAATGACACCTCTACCAGTTGCGGAATCACCGCTCATGTATTGAGAGTATTTTTGATGTGTAAAGAAAGAGATCTTCACTGAATTAGTTTTACATAGAAATGATAGAATTTAATCTTCTCAGATTAAGCTGTAAGCTTAAGAGAGCTTTTCTGATCATCCATTGTGCAGCATCTGTTTGTCTATATACTGTAATCATTTTAGACTTCTTCTTGAGAACCACTGGTTTCCCCCTTCCAAGAGTAGATTATCAAGAAGGGCAAAAATGGGGTGGATGAAGGGATTATTTAAAAATCTTCTCAAGAACATCTTGGCCAAAAAGATGAAAGGTTTATGACAAAGGATAGTGTGAATTCTGAATTTTTCAAATTGTGGCGCCCATGGGTAGGCTACAATTGATCATTGATTAATGAAGTTAAGAGAGTCTAACACATGTTCGTGCTTTCAATCACATTTTGCTTTCGCACAGCTTCCTTCATGGTTAAATTTTCAAATGTGGAGAACCCTGGGTAGCATAGGTCCAAGATAGGGATCTAACTTTAACATGGAAATATAAAGGAATTTAAAGTTTTTTGATGTAGCATAGATTTTAAATTGATCATTAAATCAAAGGGGGTATGTTGGGGCTAAAATAAGAGGTCAGTTTGACATAGGAATTGATTAGTTGAGCATCCTCAGGGTAGTGCAAAATTAACTTCATTTGAATCGTGGCCCTTAGGGTGGAATCATAATGGGGGATCCAAGTTTTGCTGGGGAAAAAAGAAAAAAATCTTTAACAATCTTTTTTTGAAGAACACTAAGGCCAAGACTAATCACAATGCATTTGGCCAAATGTAAAAACTATACAGGGGTAAATTGTTTTCATAAGAATGAAGAAATAATTTTTTTTTATTTAAAGTATTCTGAGGAAAACATGACCAAAGTAACTCTGGTGAGCTATGTGGTTCATGTTTCTTTTTTTATTGTGTATGTGTATAGAGTATTTTTTTGTTTTTCGGGCAAATACTATGTAGAATGAAAAAAAAAAACTTATTCTCGCATTTTAGTATTGTTTTTAATATCTTGAAAGGTCCTTGATACAAGAAAGCAATAAATTAGAGTACTGTTTGTCTGTGTTATAGATAATGTGCAGTTTACATCTTGTACTACAATATTTTACTTTTTTGGTGGGGGGGGGGGGGGGATTTGCTGTTATTTACCTTTGCATATGTTATAAAAAACTGAAACTGAACTTTTAAAGAAATGCAAAAAAGTTAAAGCATATATATATATATATATATATATATATATATATATATATATATATATATATATATATAACTTTCATTGGCCATAGTGGTCACACCCTAACCTGGGAGTCATGATTTGAACAGATTTGAATCTACATTATCTTTGGAAGCTTTCATGTAATTTTCATTTTTTTTTCTGGTCCAGTGATTCTTGAAAAGATTTTTAAATGACCTCACCCAATTTTTACTTTTTCTTAATTATCTCCCCTTGGAAGAATTTGTGTAACCCTTTATTTGATCAAACTTTAATTTACTTCACCCAGTCACACTCTGTACCAAATTTAATTTAAACTGGTGCCGTGATTGTTGGGAAGGGGAGGAATTTGGAAAAAAAAGTTATAGATGACAACGACAGACCATGGACAAATTTTGATCAGAAAAGTTCACTTGAGCCTTTGGCTCAGGTGAGTTAATAATGGCTGAATTGTGAATCGCTGTGTTTTGCTTGTACATGTATGTCTCTGGTCTTAGTCTTTAGTTGTTTTGTAAAACAGGCCCCTTATACCTAAATCTAAACAAGAGATGTTTGTGAAACACTCATGCCCCCCCCCCCCCCAGGACATACATTATGCTACAGGGTGCACAAGCCTTTATTATGGGCAGTATACATTATGGGCAGTGTACATGGAAATGAAATTGACCTTTTGAACTTAAAATCAATAGGGGTCATCTACCAGTACTATCTGAGATGCATCAAAGAGAAATAGTCTTCTACATCACATCTTTGGCAAAAACATGTTTCTCATGATATATCAGTAATTTATTTGTTCAACCTTTGCAGAGATAATGAACAGAAAGCTAAGTCCAAGGGGCATAACTCTGTCAACAATTGTTCGATCGTACCCAAAACAGAACCTGACCTAGATATTCATATGATAAATCGGTATACCATATTTCATTTCAGTAAGTGCAACCTCTGCGAAGAAAATGAACAGAAACTGTTGGTGGACCGACAGACAGACAAATTGACCGACTGACCAAAAGACAGCAGCAAAGCAATATGCTCCCCCTTCTTCAAAGGGGGGCATAATAAATGTACAAACCTTTGAACTTGAAATTGGTAAACTATACCTGTTTAGCTATTTTATGGGTGTCCTCTTCTGGAATCAGTTGTTGGTACAAATTAGGTTTTAACCAATATTTGGAGTTGACCTTGACCTAAATGGTGCTTTTCAATCTTCGAATAAGAAGAAACAATACATGATTAGCAATACAAATAGAAACTTGTATGATTATCATCTTGTTACTTTATCTATGTAAATTAAAAAATTATGAAATTCAATGCAAGTTGTTAACTTCATTACAAACATTATTTGTTATATCTGCTAAGTTCACAATGTGATTTAAAGCCAAGGGCAATGAAAATCAATTCACTATAAGCATCAATTCATTGTAAGCATGTTCACATTAACCGTGTTTTACTGTACTGACCTTTGGACTTGAAACTGGTGCATTAATTCATTATCTTTTATCTCGCAAATCCAATACACAGAGTGGTTTCTTTCAAGCTGACATCAGTCTTGGCCTTTGATCTTTGACCTTGACATTGGAAAATATAAAATATATCTGTATAAGTAATTCCATTATGTATGATTGCTGGTTTCCTTTTCGTTAAAACAAACAGAAAGTATATATAGACAATTATAAATTTGAAATGCTTGTAAATGAAGTGTACCACTTTCAGCTGCACATTCCTAATTCTGCAAAATGGTTTTCCATACTCATAGTCCCCAGTCAGCTGAGCATGCGTCAATCTAAAATACTATTAATATTTAATACATTTTTAATATACATGCATTAGTCATATATATATGTGTATCTACAAATAATATAAAAGAATACATGTACATGTATATTTAAATTTTCAAGAAACTATATTTTTTTTCAATACAAGAAGTTACACAAACCTTGTTTGCTACTAATTACCTTTTTTTAAATTAATATGAATACATGTATTAAAAGCATCTTTTCATAAAAAGACATAATTAGAATTCAAGTTTAATGTATTTGCCCAAAATTACAAGAAGTAAAAGAAAACCTACCTATACATATCTATCACCAGTCTTGGCCGGTATGGATCTGCAGTTTAATATGTTGATGGTTCAGTACACACAAATTACTGTTACGTGGTACTAAAAAGAAAAAAAAATGTACATAAATGATACGTTTAATTTAAATTGCAAAAATATAATGCAGTAGGTGTTGTAATTTATCTGTATAGAGCAGGATGAAGCCCCCTTCCAATTTAGCCCCAGAGTTCTATAATTGAATGAAAGTATTAAGGAAATTTCTCTTGAATGTATTGTAAAACAACTTGATTCTAAATGCAAATGAAATAACATATTTCTTCATGTTCTTAACTGCATAGAAAATTAAAGAGCCATTTATCTTAATTGTATAACAAATGTGTCGATAGACAAATTCGAATTTCCTCGATGAAAACTGCAGAATGTCTTCGATTGTTGGAATGCTGTTCATATGATTTACTCCAAAGAAGCATTACGTTATACATACATGTTTAGAACAGCAAACTAAGCTATTCATAAAGATTTATAAGGGAAAAATCACCTGAACTTACCTTACTTGTCAGCTGAGACGAACGGGGAGGCTAGAAACCCCAATACACATTTTAGCGGTTTTTCGGTGTTAGGGAAGCGCTTACAGATTATCATACTAAAGCGAATCATGACTGCGTTTGGAAGTCACATATCCTGGCGCAATGCAATCTTGACTGCGTTTGAAGAAATACATCCTGACTTGCCCAGGATTGACGCTTGAATAAATCATGACTGCGTTTGGAAGTCATACATCCTGGCGCAATGTTATCCTGACTAGGCCAGGATTGACGCTTGAAGAAATCATGACTGCGTTTGAAGAAATACATCCTGACTTTATGGAAAGCCATAGGGGACCCCCATGTCATGTTCTATATGTTCCATTGTAAATCAATCCTGGCCGGTCAGGATATTAATCATGACCATGTCAAGATTTCAAACATGACCAAGCCATGATTTTTATCATCTTGACCAAGTCAGGATTGATAACATGACCAACCTATCTTGGGCAAGTCAAGATTTATAACATGGCCATGCTATCTTGGCCAAGTCAGGATTGATAACATGGCCATCCTATCTTAGCCGTGGTCATCATATAACATGACCAACCTATCTTGGCCAAGTCAAGATTTATAACATGGCCATGCTATCTTGGCCAAGTCAGGATTGATAACATGGCCATCCTATCTTGGCCGGTTATCATATAACATGGCCATGCTATCTTGGCCAAGTCAGGATTGATAACATGGCCATCCTATCTTGGCCGGTCATCATATAACATGGCCATCCTATCTTGGCCAAGTCAAGATTTATAACATGGCCATGCTATCTTGACCAAGTCAGGATTGATAACATGACCATCCCATCCTGGCCAAGTCAAGATAACATGACCACCCTATCTTGACCAGGTCATGATTTAATCTTGACCAAGTCAGGATTGATAACATGGTCATCCTATCTTGGCCGGGTCATGATTCAATGTTGACCAAGTCAGGATTGACAACATATGCCCATCCTATCTTGGTCGGCCAGGATTGCATTGCGCCAGGATATATTACTTCCAAACGCAGCCAAGATTTCTTCAAGCGTCAATCCTGGCCAAGTCAGGATGTATTTCTTCAAACGCAGCCAAGATTTCTTCAAGCGTCAATCCTGGCCTTGCGCCAGGATGTATGACTTCCAAACGCAGTCATGATTTATTCAAGCGTCAATCCTGGACAAGTCATGATGTATTTCTTCAAACGCAGTCAAGATTTGAAGTCATGATTGCATTGCGCCAGGATGTATGACTTCCAAGCACAGTCATGATTCGCTTTAGTATGATAATATGTAAGCGCTTCCCTAACACTGAAAAACCGCTAAAATGTGTATTGGGTTTCCAGCCTTCCCGTTCATCTCAGCTGGCAAGTAAGGTAAGTTCAGTGATTTTTCCATTATAAATCTTTATGAATAGCTTAGTTTGCTGTTCTAAATATTTATTTTACGCAATGGTTATTTGGAATAAATCGTATGAACAGCATATTCCAACAATCTAAGACATTCAGCAGATTTCATCGAGGAAATTCGAATTTGTCTATCGACACGTTTGTTACACAATTAAAATAAACGGCTCTTTAATTTTTTTATGCAGTTACGAACATAAAGAAATATGGTATTTTAGTTGCATTTAGAATCAAGTTGTTTTACAATACATTCCAAAGAAATTTGTTTACTCTCATTCAAATATATAGAACTTTGGGGCTAAATTGGAAGGGGGGCTTCATCCTGCTATATACGGATAAATTACAACACTTACTGCATTATATTTTTGCAATTTAAAATTTAAACATATCATTTAATATATACATTTTTTTTCTTTTTAGTACCAAGTAACAGCTAGTGATTTGTGTGTACTGAACCATCAACATATTAAACTGTCCAAGACTGGTGATAGATATGTAGGTAGGTTTTCCTTTACTTCATGTAATTTTGGGCAAATACATTAATCTTGAATTTTATAATTATGTCTTTTTATGAAAAGATGCTTTTAATACATGTATTCATATTAATTAAAAAAATAATTATAGTAGCAAACAATGTTTGTGCAATTTCTTGTATTGAAAAAAATATAGTTTCTTGAAAATTTAAATATACATGTACATGTATCCTTTTATATTATTTGCAGATACACATATATATGACTTATGCATGTATATTACAAATGTATTAATTATTAATAGTATTTTAGATTGACGCATGCTGACTGGGGATTATGAGTATGGATAACCATTTTGCAGAATTAGGAATGTGCAGCTGAAAGTGGTACACTTCATTTACAAGCATTTCAAATTTATAATTGTTTTAACAAAAAGGAAACCAGCAATCATACATAATGGAATTACTTATACAGATATATATGTTTTCCAATGTCAAGGTCAAAGACCAAAGGCCAAGACTGATGTCAGCTTGAAAGAAACTACTCTGTGTATTGGATTTGCAAGATAAAAGATGATGAATTAAAGCACCAGTTTCAAGTCCAAAGGTCAGTACAGTAAAACACAGTTAATGTGAACATGCTTACAATGAATTGATGCTTACAGCGAATTGATTTTCATTGTCCTTGGCTTTAAATCACATTGTGAACTTAGCAGATATAACAAATAATGTTTGTAATGAAGTTAACAACTTGCATTGAATTTCATAATTTTTTAATTTACATATAAAGTTACAAGATGATAATCACAGAAGTTTCTATTTATATTGCTAATCATGTATTGTTTCTTCTTATTCGAAGATCAAAAAGCACCATTTAGGTCAAGGTCAACTCCAAATATTGGTTAAAACCTAATTTGTACCAACAACTGAATCTAGAAGAGGGCAGTCTTGATAGGACACCCATAAAAGAGCTAAACAGGTATAGTTTACCAATTTCAAGTTCAAAAGTTTGTACATTTATCATGCCCCTCTTTGAAGAAGGGAGGGCATATTGCTTTGCTGCTGTCTTCTGGTCGGTCAGTCAATCTGTCTGTCTGTCGGTCCACCAACAGTTTCCATTCATTTTCTTCGCAGAGGTTGCACATACTGAAATGAAATTTGGTATACAGATTTATCATATGAATATCTAGGTCAGGTTCTGTTTTGGGTACGATCGAGCAATTGTTGACAGAGTTATGCCCCTCGAACTTAGAAAAGTTCCAAGTATGTGCAGTTTCTATTCATTTTCTTCGCAGAGGTTGGACATACTGAAATGAAATTTGGCATATAGATTTATCATAAGAATATCTAGGTCAATCTCTGTTTTGGGTATGATCGAGCAATTTTTGACAGAGTTATACCCCTTGGACTTAGCTTTCTGTTCATTATCTCTGCAAAGGTTGTACAAATAAATTACTGATATATCATGAGAAACATGTTTTTGCCAAAGGTGTGATGTAGAAGATTGGTTGATGCATCTCAGATAGTACCGGTAGATGACCCCTATTGATTTTAAGTTCAAAAGGTCAATTTCATTTCAATGTACACTGCCCATAACGTATACTGCCCATAATAAAGGCTTTTGCACCCCGTAGCATAATGTATGTCCGAGGGGAGGGGGGGCATAAGTGTTTCACAAACATCTCTTTTAGATTTAGGTATAAGGGGCCTGTTTTACAAAACAACTAAAGACTAAGACCAGAGACATACAAGCAAAACACAGCGATTCACAACTCAGCCATTATTAACTCGCCTGAGCCAATGGCTCAAGTGAACTTTTCGGATCAAAATTTTTCCATGGTCTGTCGTTGTCATCAATAACTTTTATACAAATTCATCCCATTCCCAACAATCACTGGACCAATTTAAATTAAATTTGGTACAGAGTGTGACTGGGTGAAGTAAATTAAAGTTTGATCAAACAAGAGGCCCATGGGCCACATCACTCACCTGAGCACATAAGCTAGGGAAAAAAAGCAAAAATCAGTAATTTATAAGGGGGGGGGGGGGCTTGATGATGCTTCTGTATCAATATAACATATAGCTTTGCTGTTCTTGAGCACAAGATTTCTTCCTATATATTCATTTGTATAAATTTGATCTCCCATTGTGGCCCCACCCTACCCCCGGGAGCCTTCATTTGAACAAATTTGATTCTACACTACCTGAGGATGCCTCCATATCAATATGACTAATCATGGCTTTTCTGTTCTTGAGAAAAAGATTTTTTTCCTATATATTCCTATGCAAAACTTTGACCCCCCATTGTGGCCCCACCCTACCCTCAGGGGGTTATGATTTGAACAAACTTGAATTTACACTACCTGATGATGCTTCCATATAAATATGACCTATCATGGCTTTTTTGTTCTTACGAAGAAATTTTTAAAGATATTTTCCTATAGATTTCTAAGTAAAACTTTTATCCCCCATTGTGGCCCCATCCTACCCCTGGGGGTCATGATACACAGATAGTGTAGATTCAAGTTTGTTCAAATCATAACCTCCGGGAATAGGCTTGCACTGCAGTTAGTGATCAATTTAGATTTTACTTGGGATTATATCTAAAAAAAGAATCTGCTGATGAACATGAAGGGCCACAAATATGCAGGTGGGTGTTGTGGCCAATGAGCCCCTTTTTTTTTTACTTTGACCTTTGTTATGTAATAAGTATATGTGTTAACTGCAATCAAACTTTTACATCTGAAAGCAATATTTTTAGGAATAAAACACAGGATATTTGGTTAGAGAATATGAAGGCTTCAAGAGTATGACATAAAATCAGCTGTAAAGTAGCAAACTGGAGATAACAATGGCATTTATTCTGTGGATAATTTAATTGCTCCTTTTATAGTCATGCATTGTGCATGGACCCACAAATTTTTTTCCAGGGGAGGCACACCTACTAAAAATGCCTCTCAAAAAAATTGACTACCTAACTATACAAAGTTGGTAATTTTGAACACTCCGGGGGGGGGGGGGGGGGGGGGGGGGGGAGGGTGTTCTAGACTCTCCCTGGATCCATGCATGATTTATAACTTGTATTTTTTCATTAATTACTTGTACATATTGTATGAAAGGTTATCAATAGTTACTATAGGTGACATACAAGCTGATACATTAATATGTAAATCCTTCAGTTGAAATCAAAATGCCAGTTAGACTAAAGATGATACATGTATGTAGATGATTGGGTTTTTTTTCAGGATTGATGTGGAAGCCCGGATGCTTAGCTGTGCCACTGAGTTCATTTCCTGTGGATGTTGTGTGCTTGGTGCATTGCAATAAGGACATATAACCCATAGAATTCACTTGAATAATATGGAAAGAGATTGCTTTGGCAAAACTCATTTTATATATTTTAGAATAACTTTGTCAAAGATCAAGTTTGTTTGGATGACATTCTGATGCAACAACATATTTTTATGCATAAAATCTTGTTATTTACTTGAATGGTCAAAGGATCAAGACAGTTGATATGAGTTTGAATGAAGCACATTTACTTTGGTATTTGTTAAGTTAATTGGAATATTTTCACTTTGTATAATAGGTTGACAAATGTAGATTTTATTCTCAGTCAAGATTGATCTTTAAGTTTTACATCCAAACAATAAACTCTTTTGTTTTGGACAAAAAAATTATTTAAACATACAGACTGTATTCTGAAGACAAATGCAAAGAAACAATTATAGATTGTTAATTAAGGATAAATAACACAAACTTTTTTTCCCCAAAATTCAGATATCTTTGCTAAATTAGGTGCCTTTCTCACTTTGGAATTAATATTTGTATAGTTAAACAACTTAATGTTTGGCCAAGGTACATTATTTGGCAAAAAGTGCAAAAATGCAACTTTACAGTTCAATATGTTTTTTTGAAAAGTTTATAAAATGTATTCAGTTTTCTTGCTTCAAAGTTTCTGGGGACATTTTCAAGAGTCTATTTTTACATTCTACTAAATTAAAATTTATTAATTACATTTCCATTGAAAGAAATATTGAAAAAATACCAGTGTAACTCTTCTGTGTGGAAGATAAGAAAATTTGTTTGTGGTGTGTATCTTTATTAATGTCAGTTGCTCAAATTCAAAAGGTCTAGATTATAAAAATGAAAATAATGTGGGGCCTTGTATGTCTGTCCATTTTTTAAATTATACATGTTTAAGGCCATATAATATATATGATTCATATTTGGTCAGTATTTGAAAATTTATTTGGGGAATGAATGAGCATAAACATTTTACTAAAGTGCTAACAATTTTTCACATATTTTAATTTTAATATTGAATATACATGTACATGCTCAGTCTGATCTATGTTTCATGTATCTTTTCACAAAATTATGAACACTCCAAATAAATTAATGTTTTCACTCTATTCTTTTTCCATGCAGACATTTGTTAGGTCACCTGAGTCACTCAGGTGACCTTTTGCAATCTGTTTTTGTCCGTTGCCGTTCGTTGGTTGAAACTTTTGAACATTTTCAAATTCTTCTCTGGAACCGTTGAACCAATTTCATCAAATTCATCTTTGGACAAAGGGGGACAAAAATTGTGAATTTCATGATCCCCACCCCCATTGGGCCTGAGGGGGCCAAAACCATTAAAATTAATGCAATTTTCAAAAATCTTCTCTACTCCTAAACATCAAGCATTCAAATTGTTTTCGTGATTATAACATACTATGAGCCCTTTACCTTTGCCTCTTCCAAAATTGTGAATTTAATTTCCCCTGGCTCAGGAGTTCTAGTGTTAAGGTGGGGCTCTATTGATTGTATAGTAAAAATGCATTAATTCTGAAAATCTTCTTCTCTGCTCCTGGGTATTGTTTAAACAAACTAAGTGCATGGTTATGATAAGCAAAGATGCCTCTTCCTAAATTTTGAAATTCATGGCCCCAGGGTCGGGGGTTCTGGTGAAGGGGATGGGGGCTCTATTGATTATATAGTGAAAAAGCATGATTTCTTTGAAAATAGTTTATTTTGCTCCTGGTTATAAAGCAAAGAAAGCAAGTGTATAGTTATGATGAGCAAGAGTGCTTCTATCCAGAATTGTGAGTTTCATGCCCCCTGGGTAAGATACTCTGATGTAAGGGTGGGGTTTTATAAAACAGTGAAAATGCATTATTTATATTTAATAATCCCCTCTGCTTCTTGTGTTGAGCACAAAGGCTCAAAGAGCTAATGCTACGGGCATTTGTGGTTTGTGTGTAAAATTTAGAATATGGGCTATATCTCAAGAACCCCTTGGCCGATTTTTGTCAAATTTGTCAGAGTGTCCTTGACTGAAGGGCTCTCATTTAAACTAAAACAAGGGATGTGACCCTTAAACAAGAGGAGATAACTTGGAAAATAAAACCAAAAGCTAAAAAATCTTCTCAAGAACCATTGGGCAGATTATCACCAAATTTACATACAAGAATAGGATATGTTGTAGATTAAAAGTTGCTCAAGGCATCACCCTGGGGCAAAGGGTGCGGTCTCAAGGTCACTTCAAAGTTGACCAAAAATTATGTTTTGTTTGATAAACTTTGATATTTTGCTTACTATAAGGATTAGGATAGTGAAATCTTGTCAATATTGATGCACCTTAGGACCTCATATCATGTTGACTCAAAAGTAGGTCAGTGACCTCCTTTTTAAATTTTGCAGGCATTCGTTTTCAAATTGATCATCAAACTTTGTCAGTTGATGCATCTTGGGTCCTAGTAGAACGTCAACTGAAAAGTAGGTCACCTTTACCTACTTTTTTGAATTTTCCAAAACATTTAAGGTCATTATTTAAGGTACTGTGAGGATTAGAATCGCCAAACCTTGTAAGTTGATGCATCTTGGAACCTTAAAACACATTTATTTAAAAGTAGGTCACAGTGACCCACTTTTTGAATTTTGCAGACATTGGTTTTCAAATAGTTTCAGAGGAGGGATATTTTGGACACTTCAGGGCCTATTATCATCAAACTTTGTCAGTTGATGCATCATGGGTCTTATGAGAATGTGAACTGAAAAGTAGGTCACTGTGGCCTACTTTTGAAATTTTATGGCTGTATTTAAATATTTCAGGTACTAATTGGCTAAGAATCATCAAACTTTGTCAGTTGATGTATCTTTGGTCCTCAGACTAAGTGTGTCAAAGAATGAATCCTCATAACACTGCTTTCTCGCCCCTTTTAAATGCAGAATTTTACCTTTTCAAATCAGAACGTTGTTATATTTTAGCTTAAGTCTTCAAGCATAGTCTGTAGAGATACTCATAAAAGATTTTTTGGGGAAAGAGACTTTCAATATATACATTATATCGATTAAATAAAATCGTATACTTCACTGTAAAATCCCGGTTTCGCCATTACAGCTAGGTAGGTCATTGTATTATTTGAATGAGAAGGCGGAGCGTCTCTCAAGCGTGCGATTAGTATGAATACATTAGCGTGTGTTCGAAGTGTACTAAGTTTTATGATTAACTGACACCTAAAAAGTCTTTTTCATGCTAGAGACCGACAAAATATAAGCATACATTTTTAATTTGGCTGGCTTAACTTTGATTTCTTTTCTGCTTAACTTACGAGTCATATTTGAAATGATTTAATTACTAGAAAATCGTTAAATTATTTATATATTAAATACACAATGGAATTTGGAAACAGAACGTATAACGAAGGATATACTATTTTTCACACTTTAAAGAAGCCTTTTTTTTTGAAAAAGAAATGATTAATCCATTGAAGCTTATTACGTACATAATTAGAAATTGTTCATACATATATATATATAATTTTGCAAAATCCGAGTGCTACAACAAATACACGTAGGCGGTTGAATTATGATATAAAACTAAACTCGGTGTATAAAAAATAGATAGTTAAGACAGTGAAAATTTAAACGTTAATTAAACGTCAGTATAACGTCAGTATCATCGCTGGTGGATAAAGAAACATCCGTGTCAGTGTACTTTGTACAGTCCAAATTGCATTGCTTCAAAAAATCCTGTTTATTCACGCCAGACAAGTTAATATGATCTTCCTCAATTAGGAATTCATTAATTGTCGTAATCCACTCCTGTATTTTTTGATTTTAACAAACTCTCTCCCTGTAGTAAGATAAGTAATAAATCACTCCGAGGTATTTAACGCCCTTTTTCATTCGACTGATTTTTTTTTTTACTAATATCTAGATCGGACATGTGAAAGGGTCATACAAATGCATGTTCTTGCTTTTAAACATTATGCTTTAAAAATACCTGCGAACATGGACTTTCTTTTACATGAACTAAAAAAAAAAAAAAAAAAATTGTAAAATTTTGTGGTGCCGATGTAAAAAGTTATAGCATTTGCTTCAGAAGAAACCTGAAGCTTCCTTCTATTCAAATTAGGGGTGCTTTTTGTGCAAATGTATTCATCCAGTGACTTTTCATCCGATACACAGGTTTTTTGAGCGCTCCGTACTTCAATTTCTTTCCCTGAAGGTTTCTTCTATTGGAAGTATGCATTTGTGCACTTGTAACAAAAATTTATTTTTCTAAAGATATGATGAATTGGTGTTTTTCAAATAACGGACTTTAAAATTAATGACAGTTTTAACTGAAAAAAATCTTTCATATCTTCCAAGGCAATGAACGGAGCACCGATGTATATTTAGGAACAAGGGCAAATGTATAATATATACCCACAGTAATTTAAATTTTAAAATTCTGGCCTGGAGGTTATAAAATTTTTTGAGTACATACTCCGTTCTCAAACTCATATTCTATTCTCCGATACCATAAACATACTCAAAATTTATATACAACTTAGAGTGGAATTTTGGAGCATGAGTATGGTTTTGGAGTACGGAGTATGAGTTTGAGCACGGAGTGCGTACTCAAAAAGAGTTTTATATCCTCCAAGCCTGTATTTATGAGACACAAGCAGTAAGTGCAAGCTATATGCTACAGGACTGCAATATAAATTGATATATAAACCCCCCCCCCCCCCAAAAAAAATCAAACAAAATCGACTGAAAATATTAACACATCTTAATCATAAAAAAAGTTTTCTCCCAGAATTTTAATTACCCATTTGAAAAATGATTTGACCATCGATAGGTCGCAGACACTAGACACAATGTCGCTTAGGTGTGCTCAAAGCGTGGAAGTGAATAGATTTGAGTCACGTGTTCAGTGCTTTGTTATTCATGAGGTCAAAGACGGGTTGAAATTTGTAAATAAGGTGCCTTTACTATGGAGACAAGCACCAGTGATTTTGCACCTTTTAGGAAAATAACAAATGAGCGCAAGACTGTTTCAATTTCTTTCATGAATGTAAATGACTAGTGTAACTCTTTACATTGACCGTATTTACGACAACTTGAAACATCCATGCGCTCATATAAAAAATGGGCTTGCAAAACGGGGGTGTGGCCTACAGTCTATGTTTGTTTGTTTGTATGTTGTTTAACGTCCCTCTCGAAAATTTTTCACTCATATGGAGACGCCACCACTTGCCGGTGGAGAGCTGCAAATTTTGTCCTATACTCGGCACTTACGGCCATTGAGCAGTGAGGGATCTTTTTCGTGCCAGCACCTTCTGCGACACGGGACCTCGGTTTATACGGTCTCATCCGAAGGACCGGTCTCCACGTCCCGCAGTGGGATTCGAACCCGCGACGTAAGGATCAACTCCTTACTTCGCGACTCTAGAGCAGACGCTCTAACCACTGCGCCACGCGGGCTAAAGTCTATGAGAAATCGATGTAAACAACATACCCCTGCTATATTAATCACATAAATACCTAATTACAGCGCAAGGAAGTAAAAAATGAAATTGAAATTAATAAACTACAATGTTTGATGGAAAGATTGAGGCAAAAATGTTTAGAAAATCTTTAATTTTTTTGTAAATTAATGGGGGGGGGGGGGCAAAATTGGACGTTTAAACGATTCATCCTTTAAAGTGGTCTCTGTGACCTACTTTTAGAATTTTATGGATATATTCAAATACTTAAACACTAATTGGCCTAGAATCGTCAGCCTTTGTCAGTTTATGCATTTTGGGTCCTTGAAGTATTATTAAGATAATAAAAGGTTTAGAATCATCGAACTTAGTCAGATTAGGAATCTTGGGTTATCAGAGTATTCTAACCAAAATGTAGGTCAAATTGACCTACTTTAGGGATTTCAAGGCTTCAACTAAATTATATAGGATACTAAGAGGCTTCAAATAGAAGTGATACATTGTACAATTTATCAGAAGATCCATTCAAGGTCCTTGGGGCTCTTGTTACATGTAGTTAACAACTCTGCATGGTTAACATCTGTCTTTTCTCAGAAAATACAACACAATATATATGCTTTAACTCTTTTTGCATTTCTTTAAAAATTCAGTTTCAGACTTTAATAACATATGCAAAGGTAAATAACAGCAACCCCCCTTCACCGAAAAAGTAAAATGTTGTATTACAAGATGTAAAATGCATATTATCTATAACACAGACAAATAGTACTCTAATTTAATGCTTTCTTGTATCAAGGACCTTTAAAGATATTAAAAACAATACTAAAATGCAAGAATAAAAGTTTTTTTTATACTACACAGTATTTGTCTGAGAAACAAAACAACACTCTATACACATACACAATAAACAAAGAAACATGAGCCACATAGCTCAACTGAGTTACTTTGGTCCTGTTTTCTTCAGAATATTTTAAATCAAAAAAAAATTATTTCTTCATTCTTATGAAAACAATTAGCCCCTGTATAGTTTTTACACTTGGCCAAATGCATCATGATAAGTCTTGGCCCTACTGTTCTTGAAAAGAATATTGTTCAAGATTTTTTTCTTTATTCCCCAGCAAAACTTGGATCCCCCATTATGATTCCACCCTAAGGGTCAAGATTCAAGCGAAGTTAATTTTGCACTACCCTGAGGATGCTCGACTAATCAATTACTATGTAAAACTGACCTTCTATTTTAGTCCCAACATACCCCTTTGTGCTTTGATTTAATGATCAATTTAAAATCTATGCTACATCAAAAAACTTTAAATTCCTGTATATTTCCATGTTGAAGTTAGATCCCCATCTTGGACCTACACTACCCAGGGTTCTCCACATTTGAAAATTTAACCATGGAGGAAGCTGTGCGAAAGCGAAATGTGATTGAAAGCACGAACACGTGTAAGACTCTCTTAACTTCATTAATCAATGATCAATTGTAGCCTACCCATGGTCGCCACAATTTGAAAAATTTAGAATTCACACTATCCTTTGTCATAAACCTTTCATCTATTTGGCCAAGAGGTTCTTCCAAAGATTTTTAAATAATCCCTTCCCCCAACCCATTTTTGCCCTTCTTGATAATCTCCTCTTGGAAGGGGGAACCAGTGGTTCTCAAGAAGAAGTCTGAAATGATTACAGTTTATAGACAAACAGATGCTGCACAATGGATGATCAGAAAAGCTCTCTTGAGCTTACAGCTTAATCTGAGAAGATTAAATTCTATCATTTCTATGTAAAAATAATTCAGTGAAGATCTCTTTCTTTACACATCTCAACATCTGTGTAGGCCAAACAAAAAATACTCTCAATACATGAGCGGTGATTCTGCAACTGGTAGAGGTGTCATTTATTGCCAAGCTCTGAAAAAAAAATTAACTCACTTCAGTGCATATTTCAAAGTTTAGAGCAAGAATTGACTAAAAATATTTCAAAAACGTTTTCTCTTAAAATATTTTGGTCCCCATCTGATTTTAAACTTCAATTTAAACAAAATGTACAGACCTTTGAACTTGGAATTGGTAAACTATACCTGTTTAGCTCTTTTATGGGTGTCCTATCAAGACTGCCCTCTTCTTGATTCAGTTGTTGGTACAAATTAGGTTTTAACCAATATTTGGAGTTGACCTTGACCTAAATGGTGCTTTTTGATCTTCGAATAAGAAGAAACAATACATGATTAGCAATATAAATAGAAACTTCTGTGATTATCATCTTGTAACTTTATATATAAATTAAAAAATTATGAAATTCAATGCAAGTTGTTAACTTCATTACAAACATTATTTGTTATATCTGCTAAGTTCACAATGTGATTTAAAGCCAAGGACAATGAAAATCAATTCGCTGTAAGCATCAATTCATTGTAAGCATGTTCACATTAACCGTGTTTTACTGTACTGACCTTTGGACTTGAAACTGGTGCTTTAATTCATCATCTTTTATCTTGCAAATCCAATACACAGAGTAGTTTCTTTCAAGCTGACATCAGTCTTGGCCTTTGGTCTTTGACCTTGACATTGGAAAACATATATATCTGTATAAGTAATTCCATTATGTATGATTGCTGGTTTCCTTTTTGTTAAAACAATTATAAATTTGAAATGCTTGTAAATGAAGTGTACCACTTTCAGCTGCACATTCCTAATTCTGCAAAATGGTTATCCATACTCATAATCCCCAGTCAGCATGCGTCAATCTAAAATACTATTAATAATTAATACATTTGTAATATACATGCATAAGTCATATATATGTGTATCTGCAAATAATATAAAAGGATACATGTACATGTATATTTAAATTTTCAAGAAACTATATTTTTTTCAATACAAGAAATTGCACAAACATTGTTTGCTACTATAATTATTTTTTTAATTAATATGAATACATGTATTAAAAGCATCTTTTCATAAAAAGACATAATTATAAAATTCAAGATTAATGTATTTGCCCAAAATTACATGAAGTAAAGGAAAACCTACCTACATATCTATCACCAGTCTTGGACAGTTTAATATGTTGATGGTTCAGTACACACAAATCACTAGCTGTTACTTGGTACTAAAAAGAAAAAAAATGTATATATTAAATGATATGTTTAAATTTTAAATTGCAAAAATATAATGCAGTAAGTGTTGTAATTTATCCGTATATAGCAGGATGAAGCCCCCCTTCCAATTTAGCCCCAAAGTTCTATATATTTGAATGAGAGTAAACAAATTTCTTTGGAATGTATTGTAAAACAACTTGATTCTAAATGCAACTAAAATACCATATTTCTTTATGTTCGTAACTGCATAAAAAAATTAAAGAGCCGTTTATTTTAATTGTGTAACAAACGTGTCGATAGACAAATTCGAATTTCCTCGATGAAATCTGCTGAATGTCTTAGATTGTTGGAATATGCTGTTCATACGATTTATTCCAAATAACCACTGCGTAAAATAAATATTTAGAACAGCAAACTAAGCTATTCATAAAGATTTATAATGGAAAAATCACTGAACTTACCTTACTTGCCAGCTGAGATGAACGGGAAGGCTGGAAACCCAATACACATTTTAGCGGTTTTTCAGTGTTAGGGAAGCGCTTACATATTATCATACTAAAGCGAATCATGACTGTGCTTGGAAGTCATACATCCTGGCGCAATGCAATCATGACTTCAAATCTTGACTGCGTTTGAAGAAATACATCATGACTTGTCCAGGATTGACGCTTGAATAAATCATGACTGCGTTTGGAAGTCATACATCCTGGCGCAAGGCCAGGATTGACGCTTGAAGAAATCTTGGCTGCGTTTGAAGAAATACATCCTGACTTGGCCAGGATTGACGCTTGAAGAAATCTTGGCTGCGTTTGGAAGTAATATATCCTGGCGCAATGCAATCCTGGCCGACCAAGATAGGATGGGCATATGTTGTCAATCCTGACTTGGTCAACATTGAATCATGACCCGGCCAAGATAGGATGACCATGTTATCAATCCTGACTTGGTCAAGATTAAATCATGACCTGGTCAAGATAGGGTGGTCATGTTATCTTGACTTGGCCAGGATGGGATGGTCATGTTATCAATCCTGACTTGGTCAAGATAGCATGGCCATGTTATAAATCTTGACTTGGCCAAGATAGGATGGCCATGTTATATGATGACCGGCCAAGATAGGATGGCCATGTTATCAATCCTGACTTGGCCAAGATAGCATGGCCATGTTATATGATAACCGGCCAAGATAGGATGGCCATGTTATCAATCCTGACTTGGCCAAGATAGCATGGCCATGTTATAAATCTTGACTTGGCCAAGATAGGTTGGTCATGTTATATGATGACCACGGCTAAGATAGGATGGCCATGTTATCAATCCTGACTTGGCCAAGATAGCATGGCCATGTTATAAATCTTGACTTGCCCAAGATAGGTTGGTCATGTTATCAATCCTGACTTGGTCAAGATGATAAAAATCATGGCTTGGTCATGTTTGAAATCTTGACATGGTCATGATTAATATCCTGACCGGCCAGGATTGATTTACAATGGAACATATAGAACATGACATGGGGGTCCCCTATGGCTTTCCATATGGTCATGTTATCTTGACTTGGCCAGGATGGGATGGTCATGTTATCAATCCTGACTTGGTCAAGATAGCATGGCCATGTTATAAATCTTGACTTGGCCAAGATAGGATGGCCATGTTATATGATGACCGGCCAAGATAGGATGGCCATGTTATCAATCCTGACTTGGCCAAGATAGCATGGCCATGTTATATGATAACCGGCCAAGATAGGATGGCCATGTTATCAATCCTGACTTGGCCAAGATAGCATGGCCATGTTATAAATCTTGACTTGGCCAAGATAGAATGGCCATGTTATCAATCCTGACTTGGTCAAGATGATAAAAATCATGGCTTGGTCATGTTTGAAATCTTGACATGGTCATGATTAATATCCTGACCGGCCAGGATTGATTTACAATGAAATATATAGAACATGACATGGGGGTCCCCTATGGCTTTCCATATGACTTGGCCAGGATTGACGCTTGAAGAAATCTTGACTGCGTTTGGAAGTAATATATCCTGGCGCAATGCAATCCTGGCTGACCAAGATAGGATGGTCATATGTTGTCAATCCTGACTTGGTCAACATTGAATCATGACCTGGCCAAGATAGGATGACCATGTTATCAATCCTGACTTGGTCAAGATTAAATCATGCCCCGGCCAAGATAGGTTAGTCATGTTATCTTGACTTGGCCAGGATAGGATGGTCATGTTGGTCAAGATATTATGGCCATGTTATAAATTAATCTTGACTTGGCCAAGATAGGATGGCCATGTAATATGATGACCGCGGCCAAGATAGGATGGCCATGTTATCAATCCTGACTTGGCCAAGATGACCGGCCAAGATAGGATGGCCATGTTATCAATCCTGACTTGGCCAAGATAGCATGGCCATGTTATAAATCTTGACTTGGCCAAGATAGGATGGCCATGTTATATGATGACCGCGGCCAAGATAGGATGGCCATGTTATCAATCCTGACTTGGCCAAGATAGCATGGCCATGTTATAAATCTTGACTTGGCCAAGATAGGTTGGTCATGTTATATGATAACCACGGCCAAGATAGGATGGCCATGTTATCAATCCTGACTTGGCCAAGATAGCATGGCCATGTTATAAATCTTGACTTGCCCAAGATAGGTTGGTCATGTTATCAATCCTGACTTGGTCAAGATGATAAAAATCATGGCTTGGTCATGTTTGAAATCTTGACATGGTCATGATTAATATCCTGACCGGCCAGGATTGATTTACAATGGAACATATAGAACATGACATGGGGGTCCCCTATGGCTTTCCATATGACTTGGCCAAGATAGGTTGGTCATGTTATATGATGACCACGGCCAAGATAGGATGGCCATGTTATCAATCCTGACTTGGCCAAGATAGCATGGCCATGTTATAAATCTTGACTTGCCCAAGATAGGTTGGTCATGTTATCAATCCTGACTTGGTCAAGATGATAAAAATCATGGCTTGGTCATGTTTGAAATCTTGACATGGTCATGATTAATATCCTGACCGGCCAGGATTGATTTACAATGGAACATATAGAACATGACATGGGGGTCCCCTATGGCTTTCCATAGATATCATCCAAAATTATCGTTTTGTATATTACTTTCTTTCATATACAGTGTACAATGAGCAGATTATCATGTTTTTAATTCTTTCGATTAATTTGAAATGTAAAATCTTTTTAGCTATAAAAATAACTTTTCTTCCTCCTTGAGTTGTTACTAGCAATGTACATGTAATAGTGTACTATATGTAGTACGTATCTTTACACTAATGTTAAACTCTTTAATTATTTCTGCTCGCCTCCAAGAATCTTTAGGGTTATCTGAGGAGACGACCATTTGATTCTGAGAAGGGCAGGTTTTGAAAATATTTAATATGTCCTCGAAAATGTTGAAAATAAATAATCTGTCCTCAACTAGGAAGATAATTTTTCCTTGCCTGGTGTAACCACTCATCACCCTCCTCCACGTAACGAAATAAAGATTTGAAGTTTGGCATATTTCCCTTTTCTTTTTTTTTTTAGGTCACCTGAGTCACTCTCTGGAACCGCTGAACCAACTTTTGTATATAGCATCAATGGACAAAGAGGGACAACATTGTGAATTTCAAGGTCCGTGCCCCTAGGTCTAAGGGATGCAGCTAAAACCATTAATGGAATCTTCAAAAATCTTCTTCATTATAATTCCAGATATACAATTATATGATTTATATTTGTAATAAGCCTTGAGTCCTGTACCGAAATTGTGAAATTCAACTCCCTGGGTTTGGTGCTAGGACTGGCCTTATTGAACATGAAGTGAAATGAATAATTCTTTAAAAAGTCTCCTTCTTTCCCTCCTGTATATTAAACAGACAACCTTAATGCATGGTCATGATGAACAAAGTTGCCTATATACGTAAAATTTGAAATTCATTGCCCAAGGATTCAGGTGTTGGTGGAGCTTTATTGACCACGTAGTGAAAATCAATTAATTCTTTGAAAATCTTTTTCTGCTCCAGGGTATTAAGCAAATTAAGTGCATGGTTATTATGAGCAAGAGTGCCTCATCCGAAATTTAGAAATTCTAGAATAGTCTGAGACTGTCATTCCGGTACTGGGACAGGGCTGTATTGATCATATGGTGAAATGCATAAATTCTTTGAAAATCTCTGCTTCTAGATATTCAGCAGATAAAATAATTGCATAGTTACATGTATAAATAGCAAGGGTGCCCCTTACAAAATTGTGAAATTCATGGCAATTTAGGGGGGGGGGGGGCACAACGATACATTTTCATTTGAGGAGGGGTGTACTATCAACTACCAAAATTCCTTGACAAGAAAAAAAGGTCATCAGACGTTATTTTTGAGGGGGCATAAGCATATCAATAGCAGATGCGTTTTCCATAGTATTCTATCTCCCGTCCCCAGGTTCCTAAGGCCATGAACTAAGTTCATATCTTCATCTATCAGTTTATTTTGTTTTAATATTTAATTATTACCCCCCCCCCCTTTAAAAGGGATGGACTTGACAAGGACGGACCTCAGCTTCGCAAAAGGTGTTCTTAGCCATATTGTTCTAGTACTCTTGACTTGAAATTCATAATTATATTAGTATTAATATTATTTGATTTATTTCTTTGCAGAAGACGAAGCAGGAGCAACGTCAAAATGTTCAAGGTTTACAAAACCTAAATTACCCTGCAAGTAAAAAATTTCAACACTTTTCATTAAATACCTAAAATTTTTATATTCATTCAATTTGGTTATAAATTTACGGGATGAGATTATCTTGCTTTTGATTAGAGAAAACAGACCATTGCATAACACTTAGAATAATAGATACAGATAAGGAAATACAATCTTCCTTTCTAGAACACCAGAGAAAAGACGATCGAATGCTCTAAAGGTTCACAAGTTTATTTCTCACATCATAAGGTAACACTAGCTTTTGAACTTTTTGCAGAAGATTTAAACCAAGAATCTTTCTCACATTTAAAATGACGATTTTCTCCAATGAAGGCGGAGAACATGCAATTCTCCGTAAACGGTCATGTGTATCAGGATTATTGAGGAGGGCCACGGGTGTTCTGTCGGACGGAGTCATACTTAGCATGTAATCATGCTGAGAGAGATTATATCCATATTGTACCAGTAAATCCACAATATCCCACTGTAAGAGATCAACAGCTAATTCAAAGGGGTCATATAGACGCCTCTCTCGTCTCCCGTAGGAAACCAAGGCCGGAGGGTCAACTTTAGCGTTGTGTTCCAACAGCAGTCGTACCGTATTCTGATCTCTGTTTCCAGTTGCAGCAATCAACGGGGTAATACCAGACGAGACTGTGAAAGAAAAAAAAAATGATATTTTTAGAATAACGAGAAAATATTACCTATACATGTAAACATGTTGTAATTATCTGATCATGAGGGAAAATCCAGGGAGAGAAATATAAATGGAGAACTGAATAACAGCATAGGGTTTTCATGTCCCATTTACACAGTACTGTACAGTAATCTACATTGTATCCAATGCTATAAGAATGCCTGATGACTTTGGATCCTCGATCGCTCTAGAAAAATCCTACAGATCTTGTAAAGAAAGAAGGTGAACTCTCACCCAACGAAATAAAATTTGAAAATTCGATATTATTCGTAATATTTTAGTTCATATCCATCCTTCTCTAGATAGCTTGAATAATATACATGTAAATTTACCTTGTAATAGTTTGGTTACACAATATTTCAGATCATGGAAGGTCAGGGATATACACATGTAACATGCCAACCAAAATTTCAGAACAAGGATTCTTGTCGATCATATACGATTTATATTTTACTCCAAGTGGACGGGGAAAAAATCTTGGGTAAACATACCCAAAAATACATTTTATCTATTTATATGTGTTATAGAATTACATCTATATCCAACATTTACTGCACATCAATTTAGTCCGTTCTCTCACTTAGAAAATCTAACACTTATACCTTCTGTATCTTTTAAAGAAGTCATTTACATTTTCTTATTATACCTCTACTGATTTTTTCCTATGTAAAATTAAATTGTTAGATGTGAACAATTCCCTACAAATCGCTTTGATTGCAATAGTTGAACTGTAAGT